TTTGGAGGATGTATTGCATTCATCAAATAGAAAACTTTTAAAAAAGAATGCCCTACTATTGTTGATGCTGCCAAGCTTAGCTAGTGCTGATCCAGGAGTCTCTCTTAAAGAAGATAAACAAACCCAAACTGCTCCGTTGGTAGGAAAGGAAAATAGTACACAGAGTGAAAATGCAACAAATGAAATCTTTGCTCAAACCTCAACGAGTCTCTCTAGCAACACTCCAAAAAAAAGAAAATTGAAACTTGAACTCCTCCAATGCAGAAAGAAAATAAAATACAAATTATTTCATTTATTTATATAAAAAGGATATTTACAATCACAAATCTAAATAGAAACAGAAAGTAGGCAAATATAATTAAAATACTGGAGACGGGCAGCCCTAACGCATGTTTACGTACCGCGCGGCTGTAGGCATTTATTTCTATCATGCGGCCGAGTTACACTACTGTATTATAATTGTACCGTGTCCCAGATTAGTTGTAGAAAACGGAATATCAAATAAATTATAATTGCTTTTTCTTGGAAGACGCAAAGGTATTTTTATGCTTAAGGCGTTTATCAACTCACTACACTATTTTATGTAGAAATATAGAATCAAATATCATTCTGCGGCTTGCTAAAGCTTTTAGTTTATAATTGGTCGCCTTAGCATAGTGATGGCAGAGGAAGCGCCTCTGCACGCTCTCTAAACGTTTCGTGTATACTTCGTAATGAGGATTACTGAGTCATACTTTAAGATGGGACGTACGAATGAATTAAATAGTTTTATTTAATATTTATTTTAGGTAAGAGGTGGCAGACGAGCAGACGGGTCACCTGATGCAAAGTGACCATCGCCGCCCATGAACGTCTGCAACTCAGGAGTCACAAACGCGTTGCCGGCCTTTTAGGAAGGAGAACGCTTTTGAAACCTTTGCAATTTTTTTTAAAGAGAAAATCTATATTATATACACTGCAATACAAAAATGGTTTGATAACTCGACAAACTTCTAAAAGCAATATCTAAAGTTAAGGTTCACTAGTACTGCAATTGGAAAATAGCATTAAAACTGAAATGGACTTTGAAACCACTTCCGAAGTGTGAAACCCAAGGGAATACCGGGTTATTGGGTAAACCAACTAAATTGTATAGGACCAGTGTTCTAAGGCTGCTGAAAAAATATATTACCCATGGCGGCACAGCTCAAATATTTTTCGGAAGTCGTGGACTGAATTCCGTTTGTCAATGACCTAGGCTGGTCCAACTATGCAATGGTTTTGAAAAAAAATACATTTCACAGTAGAATAATTGTCTCCTGGAGTAACATATACTATTTTTAAACATTTTTTTTTGAATGGTAGCCTCAAAGTACAACAGATGGAAGAACCTAACCTCTCTTTGTTTTTTCGTAAACTCTAAATTTAAATTTCGTCACCTCATGGTAAGTAACTACCACTGCAACTCAAAAGACACAAGTTCAAGGGGGGTTGCAGGATTAAGGGGCGTCCGGTATTTGCTTAACACAAGTATTTTTTTTGCGAGGTGGCACTGTAACTAAGAATACAATAATTAACTTCTCCAGCCGTTTTCATAAAACCGATATTATATTACCATTCATTCTACCACATTCACACAACGGCATCTAGTCCCAAACTAAGCAGAGTTTGTACTATGGCTACTAGACAACTTATATAAATAAATTTATACTTTTTTTTTGTAAATACATACTTATTATACACAGCAACACCCAGACCAAATCAAACATTAAAATGTTCATGCACGCAAATGTTTGACTTGAGCGGGAATTGAACCCGCGACCTTTGGAATAGCAGTCCGTTACACAAACCACTAGGCCATCCGGTCGTCTATATATATATATATACTATGACTTCCGATGAAATATGATAATAATAATCACCAAACTTATAACAAACTTGTCCTCAACAACTTGTAATGACCTGGGCTGAAGTTATTGCCAAGATATTTCGAAGGCAGTACTTTTGTAAACGAATTCTTCGCCAAGTTACTTTGTTACAGTTTCGCCAGTCACTTTCTTGGATTATTGATGATTTTATGATTTTAACATTGAATTCGTTTTCATATTTTCGAGTGTTGCCGTTACGAAATACAAATACAAAACAATTGTTTATAAACCTAGTACATGGTTAGTGTTGTTGGTACTTGCTGAATAATGTCACCTTCGATAAATTTATTTTACTGGTAGTAGGTATAATGCTCCCATTGGAGACAGCTTTCGTCTATAAATAAGTAATCTAATGCAATTTAAAAAAAAGGGGTAATATAGAAAAATATTAGAATGCTTGTACTTCTTCATGGTCAGGGATAGGAAGGCTGGGGGGAGAAACACAATTATTACTTAATACCGATACTTCCACTCTCAACTTATGGTGAACGGTTAGTGCTTCTTACACAAAGGGATGGCATTAGTAGTACAAAACTCTTACATAGTACCTATATAGCTAAAGACTACTCAGCCTAACCTCTCTATGCTTAACAACCGTGATGTTATGTAAATGATTTTCCTTTTTATTAGCATTTTGATTGATATTCTCAACGTAAAATCTTGATTATATAACACATTTAGGTACATTTTCCTCGTAATTTTTTGCTTGGCATAGTGAAATAATGAATTTTTGGAAGGGTCGATGGATAAAACAAGAGATTACTTCTAACGAGGCCATTAAGTGACTCGGCGATAATTTTCGCAGTATTTATTCAAGAATAACGTAGTAATTTAGCGGGTAATATTTTTGAGTACTTACCAACTTTAATTTTTTTTTATGTTAGAAGGGGCAGACGAGCCGACGGGTCACCTGATGGAAAGTGACCATCGCCGCCCATGAACGTTTGCAACTCAGAAGTCACAAACGCGTTGACGGCCTTTTAGGAAGGTGTACGCTCTTTTCTTGAAGGTTTGAAGGTTGTATCGTTTCTGAAATACCGCAGACGATAACCCGCTCCACAGATTGGTTTTGCGGAGCAAAAAGCGATCGAAAAGCGCAAACGCGATAGGAGAGATTCCATCGGGCCCACACGACTTATACTATTACTTTAAAAAAACGTGCTTTACGTACTGATTTTTGTGTGAACCAGATATTCGGCATATAGCTCTGGCACCGTGGTATGGTCGACGGTACGTTTCCCCCGTCATCCAAAGTCGAGTTGGATGCAAAGAGTTTGCCTAGGAGATCGGCTTTCTCCTTGGCATCATAGCTCAACGAATTATGTCCCATCTGAAGGAGTGGAAAGGATTGGCTACAGAAATTGCCCTGGACAGCCTTGGCAAGAGACCAGAAAGCACGAGTTCCAGAAGGAAGTCTCACCAGTCTCTCACCGCTCTCAGCAATGGCTGTTTTAAGGGACCTGGAGGAAAAGTTTTATTGTTTTTTAGTCCATGCTTGGTTGCATTCCCGCTTTCGTCGGAACGCCGTTTTGAATGCCCTGAAGTACCACTTACTTTACTATAGGTTTGTACATCCATACTTATATTTTAAATGTGAAAGTGAGTTTGTTTGTTTGTTACATTTTCACGCCTAAACCACTAAACTGATTTTAAAAATTCTTTCACCAATGGAAAGCAACACTATCAGCGAGTAACATATGCCACTTACCATGATAACGGACATACACGCGGGCGCAGCTGCGGGAAAAAGTTTCTTCTAATATAATATTTAATTTGACTGGCCTGTAAGTCAAGTGGTTAGTGACTGACTGCTAAGCCGTAAGTCCTGGTTTCGATACGCACCCAGGACAACTAATTATGTCATGAGCACGAACATTTTTTTCTGTCTGGGTGTAATTTATCTGTAATACGTGATATTTATAAATGCAAAGTATGTTTATCATCAGTCTGGTTATTTGTTTAAAAAAATATGCGAAAATACGATTATCTTTTTGTTTCGTTTTCGTACGCGAGCGAAGCTTAAACATTATATTAAGTATAATTCTGATTATGATCGATGATTGTCAATGAAAAAAAATCTATTTCCACCCCAAACACGGAACTCACGAAAGCAACATAGGTAATATTTGTGTTACAGGAAATGAAAATATCACTTTATGTCTAAAGTGATGGTTTCACAATGTTTTTTTGTTTGATGAATTCAGATTTGAGAAAATACGAATAGGATGATGGGAGGATATTAACATCAATATTTTATAGGCGAGTTTTTACTCAAACCTATAAAATATCTATTGAAATTGATCCACAAACTTGATGGTGTAGAGATTCCTACATATTCATATCCAAAAGAATATTTCTTTTTTTTAGACTAGTAAACATAATTATCGGCTCTCTAAGTTATTTTGATAACATAATTAAATATGACTTCACGGATGGCGTTGTGGTTTAAGCGGTCACCTCGCCGCTTTCTACTGCGCTGAGTGTTGTGAGACTTGTGGGTACGCTCCCCATATGTTGTTCTCAGTCTGTGTGTTCTTTATGTCAGTTTCATGTATGTGTGTAAAGTGCTCCTTGGCACAGGATATAAGGTAGGTATGGCATTTAACGCCCAATGTGGAATAACGCCCGAATGCAAAAAATCGGAGATAATGTCGCACGAGTTACGTTACACTTCACGCACACATCGAATAAACCAATAGGAACGCCCGGACGCGACGCGACGCGGCTCACGCCACCAAATACTCAGTTGCGAACCACACTTTAAAGACGCCGGCAGTGCACACTGTTATTATAAAAAATACTCAGACAAAATCGTAAGTATTAGTTTATTTTCTAAAATTTACATTTCTTATTTTGTGATTAGAGTTCATTTTAGATACCTTTATATCATATTCCATTGACGATTTGATTGATTTGTTTGTAATTATGTGTGAAAATATGAGAACTAGATAGAAGGTACTAATCGGGTAATAACGCCCAGTAAAATGAGGTTTGGGCGTTAATAGCCTGTATGGGCGCTATTATCCTTAAGTGAGCGAATTTATACAAGGCGAAAATTTATGTGTATCATAATGATTTTTACAGATCGGGAAAATGAAACCATCTCATTCCACACGTAAAAGAAGAGGGGAGTCATGGTCTGAAGACACGATGAAAGCTGCCATTAAAGCTGTGCAAAGAGGTCATTTGACTCAGCGATCAGCAGCAACAAAGTATAATATTCCGCGAAGAACTTTAAGAGATCATTTAAAAACAGGTCAAGAAATCAAACGTTTGGGAAGAAAGCCTATTTTAACGAATGAACAAGAAAAAGATTTAGCTTCGCGGATTAAAAGATTTGCAAGTATTGGGATTCCACTAACGCCTAAATTCATTAGAAAACAAGCTTTCTTATTTTGCGAGAGATATGATATCAAAAATAATTTCAATAAATCCAAAAGGATTGCTGGTGTAGATTGGTTGAGATTCTTTTTAAATAGAAATCCATCCATTAGTAAACGAAAACCGCAAATAATGAACCCAGCTCGTGCACAAAAGTTGAATAAACCTATTGTTCAACAACATTTTCAGAGTATCCGCAAATTATATGATGAGTTAGATATACTGCGACATCCAGAAAGGTTATATAATATGGACGAAAAAGGATGTCGAATAACTGTGCATAAACAGCATACAGTTTTGGCTGAAAAAGGGAGCAAAAGGGTTCATCTCATTGCCCCGGAACATGCAGAGAATGTCACCATTGCGATGTGTGTGAATGCCATAGGTACAACAATTCGCGCTATGATCATTTTTAAAGGCCAAAGGCAAAGACCAGATCTAACAGAAAATCTACCAGCTGGAACGATAGTTAGAATGGCATCGAAGGGAAGTATGACTTCAGACCTATTTGTGGAATTTATTCAGCACCTGGCAAAACATAAAGTCGCTGATAAATGTTTATTAATTTTTGATGGTGCAAAGTGCCATCTATCAGTTGAGGCGTTAGATGAAGCTGAAAAAAATGATATAGTTTTGTACTGCCTTCCTTCCAATACTACGCACGAGCTGCAACCGTTAGACAAATCGGTAAATAAATCCTATGAGCATCACTGGGATGAAGCTGTTCTGAATTTCCTGTCAGTTAACCCTGATAGGACATTGAAAAAAGCCGATTTCAATAAAATATTTTCGCAAGTGTGGCCCAAATGTATGACACACACTAACATATTGAACGGATTCAAAGCAACAGGCTTGTATCCTTATAACCCTGAAGCAATCCCAGAAGAAGCATTTGCTCCGTCAGTTTTATCTGAAATTCCATATCCTCAAAATCAAAACAAACCAATGCAGAATCCTAAATCTGATGCTAATGTTGACACTGACTCTGACGAAAATCAGCGTAATCTTGATATAAACACATCAAACATACTGGACTTGACTCCTGATGAATTTAATGTTATCAACATTGACGACAATCTTACTGTGACGCCGCGTACTGAACAGTGTGACAATCTTCAAATTTTTTTACCTCAACCAACAGCATTAAAGGCTCAAAACATTTCTCGTATTGTTGATTATAGCTCATCTACTGATATTTCTGAAAATGAATTGGAAAATCCTACGCTGCAAGATTCATTCCATAACTTATGTGTTTCACCTTCCACAATTCCTGAAAATTTCTCTGTGTTACCTGAAGTGCCTGCAAACAAAGAAAGCTCTACGGGTAATGACATTGATATGGCAGTTCCAAGTTGTTCAGGTCTACAAAGACACATACGTCGAACATACAGCTCTGACTCGTCTGACATAGATAGTTTCATAATCAAGCCATCACATGATAAGTTAAAATATTCAGTTGAAGATGTCTATGGTTGTTCATCAGATGAAGAAAATGAAATTTTATCTATCATTGATAAAGGAGTAACTACACCTAAAAAGCAAATAATCAATGTTGCGCAAGAAAACATAAATCAAAAAGCAAACCCTGATGATGATAAGTCTTGTTTTTCAGATGAAGAGAATGTCCCATTATCAAATTTGAAAAAACCAAGCAATAAAACAGAATTTGAAGACTTTTTGCCGACTCCTAATTACGCTATAACTAAAACGAACCGTCCACGAAAGAAAGCTCTTAATTATAAGGGTCAACGTATTACTAAAGATCTCTTTGACAAAAAAGATGAAGATAAAAAGAAAACAAAGAATACCAATACCAAAGAACATGAGAAAAACAAGAAAGATAAGATTAAATTAAAAAATAAATCAATAAAAACAAAAGATAGGTTGCCAAAAAAAGTTAAGTACATTGCTAATGAACAAGAAAATAAAAAGAGGATTAATGAAAAAAAGGACGATGCAGAAGAACATTGGTACTGCTATGCATGTCATGAAAACATAAAATTGGACATGAGACAATGTAAATTTTGCAAGAAGTGGTACCATGAGGAGTGTGTTGGCCTCACGAAACATGACGAAGACTTCATGTGTTCAAATTGCGAATAAATATAAAACGTATTGAAATTCCAAAGGATTGTAAGACTGATTACTGATACTCTGAATAGTCCTTAGGATATTAGTTGATTACTGATCTCATTCATGTTTAAGCCTAAATGTTGTAAATGTTAATTTTAGGGCGTTAATTGACGCACTAGTCTGGGACGTCATTAGCCATCTACGTTTAATAGCGCCCAATAAGCATTTTATAATTATCTATATTTTTATTAAAAATCCTTTAGATGTTGATGTTCTATAGTTATAACACATGTTCTAAGTGAGATATTTTTGTTTAAGATGACTATGTAGAAAGTACGTCATGTGTTGGACGTGTTACAAAATTTAAAATTGTAGTATTTGTAGTTCATATAATGATAATTATAATGCTACCTAAGAAAAGACAATATAATATACTTTTAGGTTTTGTACGGCTCTAAGTCGAAATATTTATGTTTATTAAGATAATACGTAAATTAATATATGGGCGTTACTAAAAACTGTATGTTCAATAACGCCCATGACAGGGTATTCAAAAAGTCTTTGTTTGCATAATCTTGTATGACTGATAGCACTTATGTGTTATTTTTCTGTATTCTTTTTTTGTCAATAAAACTATTTTTCTAAACATTTTTTTAATTCAATCATTTAATTAAATAATATATTAATTTGAAGTTAAGTGGGCGTTAATTGCCTAGGATACCTTAGTCCTAGTGCGAGAGTTGACTTTAAAAGAAGAAAGTGCATATCTATCATTAATGAGACTGCAAAAACGCGTAAGAGCAGTTTGAAATATTTTACACGAGTAACTAGTGTAAAAACGTACTTACGTATTTCCACAAGTCACAAAATTTAAATATTTATAAAAGAGGTATTGGTATTTTTTTTTAATACATTCCTATAAATGATCTTGTAAAGGAATCACAAACAAATTAAATTGTAAAAATGTATCCTATTAACCAAGATAATCAATTATTTCTCCCTCCTTTTTTTCTGTAAAATTTAGGGAATGTTGATTTGCGGTTTTGCAGATTGCTTGTATGCGCCGCGTCTTTGTAATCTCACCGGCGACATGTCTACTCACCCGGTATTAATGATTAGCAGGGTTTAAAACAGATTATTCTTTATATGTAACACTGCCTGCATTAGAATGATATACTCAAAATTTACAAATATTATAAGAAAAGGACACGAAATTGTATAAGAATTGTATGTCGGTATTCGACAAGCCCCGTCTGAAAGCTTCCAACAATAGAAAAATAACAATAAAGCCTAAATACTAAAGTTAGCAAAATTAGGCTAATACAACAAAATACATTTATCAAATAGCAGAAGTTATAAACCGTCTAATTGAAACGCGGCAGGCGGTCTGAAACTCTGAATTTTTTACCAACTCGTTCGCTCTCCGACGGTGCATTTTGAATTCATTTATATTTAGTCACAAAACTTTGGCGACGTCGGGGTTTTATAATTTCGCAGACTATTTTGTTTCTCTATTTCAATAGACGTGTGGTGAACATAGGCTATCTGTTCAAGATAAAAATATACCCGCAGGTATTGAAGATACTCGTTAAAGACGAATTTGATTAATACAATATTTTGTACGTGTGGCAATTAGTTTTCTATATCACATTATTTTTATTATTGTTAATGTAATGTTCTTTTTTATAGTATAGGGGGCAAACGAGGAGACTGGTCACCTGATGGAAAGTGACTACTGTAACCCATGAACGATTGCAGCAAAGGAATCAAAGGCGCGTTGCTGGCCTTCGAGGTAGGTAAAGTACGCGCTTTTCTTAAGGTTTGAAGGTCGTATCGGTCCGGGAATACCGCAGGAAACTATCAGTCGGATTAGGATAATTCTTTTTGTTTGGAATAGCGTACCGATCGAAGAATTTTAAAGGCCTATGCTTAACATCACACAACGGCCCTCGGGTCGGTTTCTGCAGGGAATATAAACGCAGGTGAAGATACGGGGAATGGTTAGTACTTCATGAAAAGCTTTTTTCTAACAGTTTGTTACAAAGTATGTAAGTGTCTTTATATTACGTCATATTTACTTTATTTATTTTTGCTGTATATAATATGTACTTTACTATTCGTTCCAGCTACATTTATTCTCATCGGTGGCAGATCAGCCGGATTGGTAAGACTGGTGACACTTTCTTCTAGAACTCGTGCATTATGGTCTCTTGAAAAGGCTGTCCAGGGGAATTTCTGTTGCCAATCCCTTCCACCCCTGCAAATGGGTGATGATTCGTTGGCCTATGATGCCAAGGAGAAAGCCGATCTCCTAGGCAAACTCTTTGATCGAACTCGACTATGGAAGGCTGGAAATCCGGTTCACCAAGGAAACAGTGCCTAAAGCAGTCGTTTTTCTCGAAATTAATAAGTCGAGTGGGCCCGTTGAAGTCGTGTGCTCCGGATTTGCACCGGTTTTATTGCTCCTTTTTTGACTCTCCTACTCCCTAGGCGTCGTTCCGAAATCCTGGAAGGTAGCATTTGTGCGTGTGCACCCCATCACTAAAAAAGGTGACCGCTCTGAGCCGTCCAACTACAGGCTTATAGCCACAACACCCGTGTTCTCTAAGATTATGGAATCTGTAATCAATTGCCAGCTCCTCCGGCACTTAGGAAATCACCAGCTACTCAATGACCGATAATTTGGTTTTCGCCGGTGTCGCTCAGTTGGTGATCTTCTCTCTAAATGGTGGTAAAGGCTGTGTACCCAAATTGTTTCTTCTGCATATCAATGATATGTTGTGAACTAGTAGCATCCATTGCTATGCGGATGATAGCACGGGTAATGGCTTTTATATCGGCCGGCCATATACTTCTTGGGAAAACGTCATCTAGAGTCGAAACAAACTTGTGTCTTAAATTGAAACATCCTTACAGGTTGCAGATTGGGGTCGACTGAATCTAGTCCATTTTAACCCAATTTTCGGGGTCACTCAGAGGGTAAGGTCAAATTGGCCTCGAAGAAGCTCGGTGTGCTAAACCGATTGAGGCAGTATTTCACTCCAGCCCATCGCCTCCAATTCTATAAGGCGCAAGTCCGGCCACATATTGAATACTGTTCTCATATGCAGGAGCACCTCAGTACCACCTTCCCACTCTGGACTGTAGCCAAAGAAGAGCGACTCGAATCGTCGACAACCAAAAGATCTGCGACCGGCTCGATCCCTTGGCGTTACGTAGAGATGTAGCTTCGCTCTGCATTCTCTATTGTGTTCAGAGGAATTGTTCGGACTAATACCGGCTGCAATCTTCCGCCATCGTTCGCCACGGCAAAATTTTCCTCCCCACCACTTGGATAATTGGCACTCACCCACTTTGCGCTTTTCAAGACACTGTTTGCCTGGCACTACCATCCTGTGGAACAAGTAATCGTCTGCGGTATTTCCAGACCGATATGACCTTCAAGAAAAGAGCGTACTCCCTCCTCAAAGCCCGGCGAAGCGCTTGGGACTCCTGAGTTGCAGGCGTCGATGGTAGTCGCTTTCCATCTGGTGACCCGCCTGCTCGTTTGCCTTCTCTTCAATTTTTTTTACATAACATTACGAGTACAATATATACACTTAAATCTGTATTTGCGAAAGAGTAACCAGGGTCGTATTAAACTGCATTCAATTAAAACCTACATGTACAATATTGTTTAAGACACTTTTTGTCGATATGTGAGTGTTAAAGAAATACTGCAGTACTTCATAATAAAATGACATCTAAAATGTCCATCAATTTTTTCTTTTTTTTATAGAATACGTGGCAAACGAGCAGACGGCTCACCTGATGGAAAGCGACTACCGCCGCCCACAAACGCCTGCAACTCAGGAGTCACAAGCGCGTTGAGCAAGGAGTACTCTTTTTTCTTGAAGGTTTGAAGGCTACAATAATTATAATGATTACTGAACTGCTAAAATCAAACCAATGAACTACCATAACATTACCGACATTCGTCGGTTAATCTCTTAGTCGGTTTATACAAATTGTGGTTATAATAGCTTTATAGCTAATTAATTTACTTGGTCATGATTATCTTTAATCCTACTGATATTAGTGAATTTGCAAATCGGAGGTGTAAAATAATTTAATTATTCCAATAAGAACAAGTAAATAGAACATTAATTATGTACAAAACTAATATTGATAAATATTTAAAGTACCTACCATATACCGTAATAGAAAGCGGTTAAGTGCGTGTCGGACCATCTTTTTGAACAAGTAAACAGCTTCATGTAATTATTTCTTAGTTTGTTAGTTATTTATTGTAAACCACTTCATTTACGTTATAAATACTTATACATTATGATTTTGCCAGATTTTCAAGTCAACAGAGTAACTTGTGGGACATTGAACTCTAAATGATGAAATTAGCACTTAAAGAAAAATAAAATGAATTACGATACAAATAAATACATAGATTTCACAATCCAACAATGTACCTATAACAATATAAAATCTTCAAGAATAGTTCAAGATTTTACTAAACTAAACTCTGGAGGGCGTACAAACGGACAGGTGAAAACTGCAATGGTTCCTTTTTAAGGGTACGGGAGTCCCGTAAAAAGAAACAAAACGTCCCAGTTACAAGTTTAAATAATTTTAAAAACAATAAAAGAGCTCTTCTAGTTATAAATACTCTCGAATAAATAACTTTTTTATAAGAATAAAAGTCTTCAGTGCACCTACATCACGGTGAATTGTAATAAACTGTTTTTTTAAATTGAAATGGGATTTAACGGGAAGCCATATGCCTGCTCAAGGAAAAACAATTTCTATAAATTACGAAGTTTCAAAGTAACGATAATAAAGAAATAAAACCGATTGAGAACCTTCTCTTTGTACTGCAGTCAGTAGCATGTAACAAAGACGCATGGGATCAAAGGTCAAAATAATTCTTGTTGTCAAAATTTTCGTTCACGAGCACTCCATGACAGCAGGAGGTATTGGACGGTTGAAGGCACACGATTTTAAACGTTACGTTACAATTCGTGAACACTTTTTAATTTTAAATTCAAATCAAAGTTTAACATCTGGAACGAATTAGGTTTTGGCAACTCTGCTGTTTGAAATAATAAATACCTGAAATGGTCTTAAAATAAATTATGTTTAAATAGAAATTTGGGGAGGGGGATTTTACCGTGTGTATTAGGATAGTGATTGTCTGATGGGGCCTTGCTGCTTTCGATTATGTTAAAGATCTTAGTTTGCAATACTATTGATTTAGAAACTGAAAAAAGATGTTAACTATAATTTATTTTTTCTGGAATTAACCCAATACATGTTGGATTATTATAGGATTCAATGAAGACATCAGTAACATTTTCGCCTCGATTACTCATCTGTCATTTCTTCTTTTATAGCTATTGACGAGTTAGACGAATACTATTATACTCTATAATGATATATTCGATAGAGAATGCAGAGCGAAGCTACATCTCTACGTAACGCTAAGGGATCGAGCCCGTCGCAAATCTTTTGGCTATCGACGATTCGAGGCTCTCTACTTTAGATACGGTCCATTGAGAGAAGCTGATACTGTGGTGCAGCAGGTACTGTGGACCAGATGCTACCTTCTTAAGCATTATCGCGTAGTAGTCATCAATTTGTACATCAGCGAACATGTTATATGCACTTTAGCCAAATCTAAATAAAACACAGCACAATATTAGTAACCAGTAGTTCAAGGTAAGCTTGAAGAGTATATATGTACAAGAAATAGTAGATAATAAACACAGTTTTTAAGTTTGTATTGGTCGCGGTTGCTATGTAACACTGCACATTGATGTTTCTTATCGCTGCGTTAGTAGTATTGTTGAAAACGATACTTAGGAGAATATCATTCTTGAATCGTGTAAACTTTCTTATGAAGATTCATGATATAACACCAGTTATGAAAGTTAATACGGAGAATATGAAGAGAAAAACATCGAATAACGTATGGATAGACAAGGGAACGTTCGCGTCGCACATTACATTCACTCCGTGAGTGTTATTCCGCATATCTGTTTACGGTATGTCTACTATGATACACAATTTGAACTACATAATAATTTTTAATGAGCTGTTTTATATATAAAGTAGGTGTTAATCCGTCACCACACGGAAAGAACGGTGTATTCTTAATTAAGAACACGAATTTTCACCACCACGGCCCTATTCATCCAGCAGGTGTCGTAAGAGCCGACTAAGGGAACAAACTACGCAGGACAACAACACTACAAAGAGTAGGAAAACTTGAAACAAACCCTATACCAACCCGTCCGGCCAGCGCGGTATAGTAGGCTAAAACCTTACCGTGGGAGAGTCATGCTTCGGCATAAATGGTTTGACCGGTGCGATACCACGGCCTCACAAAAAACCGGTCGTCAAGCACTTCCATGTTGCATTTCACCGAGTGATTGAGGTTTCCGGAGCCCAACCCCCTCCCTTATGACAGCGTCGTTAAACAACAGCCTACCCAAGGGGGTAACAGCTGCGCTAACGTTGGAGAATCCCCTACACCCACTACATGCGCCCACGCTCAGAACACCATGCATTTGGACGTGGATGTCTAGGCTGCCCTGCGTACAAGACACCTACCCACGACAAGTGTAGGCACATTAGGTAACCCCTCACCACGCTTGACGTGGACTTCTGCAACATCAGGGGTCTACACTCTAACTTCAATGCTGTCCACCACCACCTCGAGACAGTGAAGCCGGCTTTGCTCTTCTCTCTTACCCTGGCTATCACACTCCTTCGTTGCTAGGGCTGGAATGTGCGTTTACGTTAGTGATGATATCAGTTCTAGCCGCCTCGGCAATCTTGAAGGACGGGACCTCTCTATTTTGTGGCTCCGTGTAGACAGCGACGACCATCCCCGCGTGTATGCATGCCTCTACAGGTCCCATAGCGGTGATAGAGTAACTCACCGACTGATGGACCACGTCCAATTGGCTACAGATTCTGTGCTGCAGCAGATCCCATCCGCAAAGATCGTGATTCTTGGCAACTTTAACGCTCACAATGGCGAATGGCTTGGGTGACGTAAAACCGATCACGCGGGGATTTCGCTCTGACCTATGACTTGTCACAACTAGTATCAACGTCCACGCGAATTCCAGATGTGGAAAGTCATGAGCCTTTACTGTTGGACCTTCTGCTGACCTCTGATCCGGACGGCTATAAAGTCGTCGTTGAGGCCCCACTCTTCGGATCATTGCCTAATACGGATTACGGTGCCACTCATGTGGTCGCCGCGGCCGCGAGTTGCAAGCTGCCGCCGCGTATGACACTATAGGTCAGCGGACTGGGATGAGATGCGCTCTTTCTTTGCGTCCTACCCATGGAGGCGGGTTTGTTTCTTGCCACATGATCCTTTCTTTTTTTTTATGTTAGAGGGGACAGACGAGCAGATGAGTTACCTGATAGAAAGTGACCACCGCCGCCCATGAACGTTTGCAACTCTGGAGTCACAAACGCGTTGCCAGACCTTTTAGGTAGGAGTACGCCCTTTTCTTGAAGGTTTGAAGTTCGTATCAGTCCGGAAATACCGCAGACGATAACCTGTTCCACAGATTGGTTGTGCGGGACAAAAAGTGTCTCGAAAAGCGCACTGTAGTGGAGCGCCAACTACCCAAGTGATGAGAAAGCAAATAAAATCCTAACGTCATGCCTGATGATGATGTAGTGCTTTAGGGCATGGAGCATGGCAGATCCAAGCCTTGTTTCAACAGATCCTGCAAAACGGTGTCCCGCCAACGCCAACGGTCTCCTACTTCCTAGGCATCGTTCCGAACTCCTAGTGCAAAGGTAACCGCTCTGATCCGTTTCTTTATCGTTTATCTAACACACCGGTGGGCACAGGCGATCGAGACTAAGGGAGAGGCTTTGGCGAGAACATTGGACATAGCGAAGGCCTTTGATCGGGTGTGGCATAGGCCGCTTCTCTCGAAGCTCCCCTCCTATGGGCTTCCCGAGAAATTATGTAACTGGGTCACCAGTTCACTGCAAAAAAGATACCGTTTGTCGTATCGCCTCGGTTTGAGAGCACCTCCCTAACTGCCTCAGCCAGTATTGCAATCCTAGGCATCGAGATATCGAGCGAAGTCTAGTTTCGCAGTAATTTAGAAGGTAAGGTCAAATTGGCCTCGAAGAAGCTCGGTGTGCTGAACTGATCGAGGCAGTATTTCAGGCAAATAATATTATTATCATTGGTTAGCATTATACGAGGAACTTTTTAAACACATATTGTAAAGAAAAAAATGTCGGCATGTTTTGAGGCTCATGCTAAAATGGGAAGTTGGAATTGAACCGACTAAAACCACAAGGTGTTCTGTCACACATAAGTTTACTGCAAGGGACTTGGGTACACCTAAAGATGTCCCCGAGAACCATCCGACATGGTCCATGGCCCTATATAGAGCCCCTATTTAGGCGGACACCCTAATGGCTTGCAATGCCGGCATATAGGACATCCCCAACGAGCGATAGCCGTCAGTCATAAGGAGATACAGCGCGGTTTCTAGCCGTCCGGCTAGAAACCGCGCTGTATCTCCTTATGACTGACGTAACCTAAGTTATGTAATAAAAATAATGCACCTCGTAACTATGAGGTGGTTCACTAAGAGCACCACGAAAGGCAACTATCAATATTGATGTAACTATTATCAATTTGCGAAGTTCTATAAAGAATAAAAACAAAAGCAATTAGCACAGCTCAATCTAAATTATCTTTGTGGGCGTTTGCAGCTAATGTTACTAACAATGATAACTAGCATTAATCACTTCAGTCTAACAGAAACTATGGCAACGTTGACTTACATTTTACTATTAGGACTTCAACAACTCGTTCTGGGTTTTGAGTGTAAAAGAGACGTTCTACAAGAGTTGACGATCGAAAAACAATTACTACACGATCTACTCAAATGTGGCTATGCAAACTACGACCCACCAAAAGGGCCCAATTCCGAAAAAACTGTAGTAACAGTCAAGTTTATTATGAAATACTTCAACTTAGATAGCACTGAAGAAGTGTTAAATTTGTATGCTTGGAGGCTTATGTCTTGGAACGACGATAGATTAAAATGGGATCCTGCTAGCTACGGTGACTTGGAAGAAATTGAATTAAAAAGCGGTGATATTTGGACACCAACATTTAGGATAATTAACAGTGCGGACGCAGATGACATAGAAAAATTTTACGTCCTTAGTTGCACTTTGAAACACACGGGAGCGGTATCATGCGTGCCGAGGTCATCGCACTTGTTATATTGCGACATCAAGCTATCTGATTTTCCGTACGACGCCCAAACATGCAATTTTGTATATGGTGTTTTGGATCCTAATGACAGTTACAACGTAAGCTTCCCCCCTCGAGCCATGGGAATGTTAGGAGCAGAATACGGCTCTAGTTGGTTTATATCCGATTATAAACAAGAGGTCCAGAAAGTTCCTGACACCCGGCTAAATATAACATTGGTGATAGAGCGTGAAGCAGAAAGTTTGGCTGCCATTATTGTGTATCCCGCTCTGATTGTTTTTAGTCTAAGTATTGCTTGTTTATTCTTAGATGCTAGGTTAAACGAGCGTCTAATGTTTACCTGTTTCAGTATCTTTAGCAATTGTTATTGGCTGAGAGAGCTTGTTGCAAATTTGCCAAAACTACGTGAGGATCCACCTAGAATTTTATTGTATTACCGTGCTTCTTTGGTTATAACTGTGTTTATTCTTATACTTACGCTTATTCTATCTGTGATGTGTAGAAAGGAGACACCTCCTCATAATATTGTTATTCTCATGAATAAATTTGTGTATGGTAGCTATGTGAGGTTTCTAGTTTACCCTCGTTGGGAGTTCCCTGATGATGGTAAATTCAATGAGGATTGGACTAAATTTGCCAACAGTATCAATAGTTTGTGTATTCAAGTTATTGTTTTTTCATACATCGGCTTATACGTAGCATTTGTACCACAACCGATTCCTTTTTAACTAATTATTTTGGATTGTAGTAAATAATAAATAATATTAAAAAGCTTTTGGCTTCGGTGCCTGGGTAAAAATAATAATATCTTCGTTGCTGTATAGCTACCGTGGAAGGTGTATGCTACATTTCATGAAATAAATGGTAAGGCAGTGCAACAAATATTGTTGTTACCTATTATCTAATAAAACTTATTTATCTATGTGTGTGAATCGTGTCCCATTTTTATTTGTTAAAGTTTTGCAAATACTATTTAACTTTTTACTTTGAATAAACAAAGTTTTATTATTTAGATTGTAGTGTAATTGTATTTTCATATTGCCAAACTAAAACAAAACATTTGATTATGTTTATAAATTTTACTGTCATTCGTTATTCGTAAGCTTAGAGAGAATCGTACCAACTCCATAAAAAATTTATATCTTAAGAATATGAAAAAATATATACATTTAATCGCGTGTTTGGTGTCAGGTGCAATTTATCTAATATAGTATATATTCAGAACTCTCAGCTAAAAGATGGGACAACTCTTCAGGGTGGGCTGGATCTGGCGACAACCAGTATGGTTTCCGTCAGGGGCGCCCCAAAGTGGATGCGATCATGCACGTGAGGGCTCTGGAGCTATTTTATTTGGACGGAGACTCTTTGACCCGCCATATTGAGGCGTCCTCAACTAGCAATAGCCATCAGAGTCAAGGAGTATGTCCTGCACTTCTTCCTTCTAGCCGGACCTAAGCTATATAATAAAAATAATGCACACTCGTAACTTTGAGGTGGTCCACCTAGAGCACCACGAAGGGCAACTATCAATATTGATGAAACCATTATCAATATGCGACAGTTCTATAAAGATAAAATGAAAACAAAAACAATTAGTAGAGCACAATCTAAATTATCTTTGTGGGCGTTTGCAGCTAATGTTACTGACAATGATAACCAGCATCAATCACTTCAGTCTGACAGAAACTATGGCAATGTTAACTTACTTTTTACTATTGGTGCTTCAACAACTCGTTCTGGCACTTAAGTGTGAAAAAGATGTTATACAAGAGCTGACCATCGAAAAAAAGTTACGAGACGATCTACTCAAATGTGGTTATGCAAACTACGACCCACCAAAAGGGCCCAATTCCGAAAAAACTGTAGTAACAGTCAAGTTTATTATGAAATACTTCAACTTAGATAGCACTGAAGAAGTGTTAAATTTGTATGCTTGGAGGCTTATGTCTTGGAACGACGATCGATTAAAATGGGATCCTGCTAGATACGGTGACTTGGAAGAAATTGAATTAAAAAGCGGTGATATTTGGACACCAACATTTAGGATAATTAACAGTGCGGACGCAGATGACATAGACAAATTTTACTTCCTTAGTTGCACTTTGAAACACACGGGAGCGGTATCATGCGTGCCGAGGTCATCGCACTTGTTATATTGCGACATCAAGCTATCTGATTTTCCGTACGACGCCCAAACATGCAATTTTGTATATGGTGTTTTGGATCCTAATGGCAGTTACAACGTAAGCTTCCCCCCTCGAGCCATGAGAATGTTAGGAGCAGAATACGGCTCTAGTTGGTTTATATCCGATTATAAACAAGAGGTCCAGCAAGTTCCTGACACCCGGCTAAATATAACATTGGTGATAGAGCGTGAAGCAGAAAGTTTGGCTGCCATTATTGTGTATCCCGCTCTGATTGTTTCTAGTCTAAGTATTGCTTGTTTATTCTTAGATGCTAGGTTAAACGAGCGTCTAATGTTTACCTGTTTCAGTATCTTTAGCAATTGTTATTGGCTGAGAGAGCTTGTTGCAAATTTGCCAAAACTACGTGAGGATCCACCTAGAATTTTATTGTATTACCGTGCTTCTTTGGTTATAACTGTGTTTATTCTTATACTTACGCTTATTTTGTCTGTGATGTGTAGAAAGGAGACACCTCCTCATAATATTGTTATTCTCATTAATAAGTTTGTGTACGGGAGCTATGTGAGGTTTCTAGTTTACCCTCGTTGGGAGTTCCCTGATGATGGTAAATTCAATGAGGATTGGACTAAATTTGCCAACAGTATCAATAGTTTGTGTATTAAAGTTATTGTTTTTTCGTACATCGGCTTATACGTAGCATTTGTACCACAACCGATTCCTTTTAACTAATTATTTTGGATTGTAGTAAATAAAATAAATAATATTTAATAAAAATAATAATCTCTCTGTTGCTGTATAGCTACCGTGGAAGGTGTATGCTACATTTCAAGAAATAAACGGTAAGGCATTGTCACAAATATTGTTATTACCTACCTATATATTATCTAATAAAACTTATTTATCCATGTGTGTGAATCGTGTCCTATTTTCATTTGTTAAAGTATTGCAAATACTATGAAACTCTTAATATGCAGATTTTTTTAAGTATATTGTAGTTTCATTTTATTTTTGTTAGTTATTCGTAAGCTCAGAGAGAACTGTACTAACTACAAAAAACAATTGTCTAACTTATTAATATGAAAATATACATTTCACATCACACATCACATCAACAGCCTTTAATAGTCCACTGCTGGACATAGGCCTCTCCTTAGAAAGGAGGTTTTGGCCTACTATACCACGCTGGCCAGACGGGTTGGTATAGGTTAAACAAATAATAAACTGCACCCAGACTTGGTGTCTATTATCGATTATAAGTATGTGTATAGGAACAGGTGTAATGTTCCTCCAACAGGGAGGATCCTCAAACCAGGCGAGGTGAGGGTCAATACCCGTGTGAAAAATGTAATAATAACTTATTATTATTTAGTTTAGTCTTAAATAAATAATCAATATTTTTTTAGTGAATATTCCAAAAAAGTTACTATAAATTATATTGATCTTACTGGCAAGTATGATTTTAAACGGATTTACGTATTTATCATTTTAAAATAATCGTCAATTTTTCTTTTGTACGGCATAGCGGATTTTGAAGCAACCGGTCACTTGATGGTAAGTGACTACTGCCTGTAACCGCTTTACGTGTCAGGCGGACTACTCACCGGCTTACCCAGCTGAGAAATACACGAGATTACCTCAGGGCGCCTTGTCGAAAACAGAAGGGTGTGCGTGTGGGCAACCTAAGGGACTCCTCAGAGAAAGACAACTTACACCTCAGTCATACATACATGTATATTTCAAATAAATACAGAGTTACAATAAAAAAAACATAAAATAGTGGGTATATAAAAAATCCCGCAGCGGCGCGCGTCAAGGCCGAGCTGATGCTGCTCGGAGCCTCCTCGTCATCAATCCAGCAGGCCACTTCCACACCAGCCCGAGTCGGCTATTTATATTAGGTATAATGGAAGGTTCAATATTTATATTAATTACATTAACAAGAATTACGTAACCCTTGAATAAGGCTGACCGCTTGCTTGGTGAGCCGCGTGACTGCCAGTTTACCAGAGGGTACTGAGAAGCTCGATTACGCACCAGAAGGCCACAAACGAAAGAGCACGCCGTCTGAGATTGTTTGTCTTGACCCGAAATCTGGAGCCCTACGAATGGATTAGCACTCATGTAATCGTTCAGGTTCCAGAAACAAATGACTACAAGAAAATTAAGATTAACTTACCACTGGCGTGGGCACTTAGAACAAAAAAAAAATTACTAAAATGAAATTACCAGACAAACAAAATACTACTTAAGATCGGAAGACTAGAATCAGCAGAGTGTCCCCTGTGGCTGAAAGCCGGACTTATATATGCTCGGTTTGTGAAATTTCTAGAAAGAATAACTTCTTTATCATTTTAAATTGTCATTCAAATTATCATCGAGGTTAACACGACTCAATTCAACAGTAACTCGCTTCCTACCATAACAGGACACTTTTAGCACCAATACAATTTGTCAGGATAAATTATTACTATGACTTATCAACAAAACAACGCCATCTAGTGGTCCGATGGCGGACGAAGAACATCAATACTATAGTTACAATCTACTTTGGATAAATCAATAAATGCGACGCGGGGCAATAGATGTCACTGTTTACAACTTCGTACGCAATACAAATATAATAAAAATAACTGTTACATGCCATGCCACAAAATAGTAGTAGTAGTCGACAAAATTTCGTTATCTTTTTTTTGAGCTAGATTAAACTTAAATTCGAAAATTTCGGGTTTCGGAAAATCTGGAATCCAAAATAATTGGTTTTATGTGTATGTGACTGTATTTTATTGAATAATATAGTTTCGCCAGAAATCGTGAAAAACTTTTTTACACCCCTAAAAATTAACCAAAAAAAATATATTTTCTGGGCACAAATTTGTTGGGGAAACCCAAATGTACCCAAACGTGTTCGGGTATATTATTTAAATTTACATAAAATATTGCAAATTGACTTGTCACATGCCACCCCTCTGAGAGGCCACAACACTGTAAAGTGCTTTCACCGGTATGCACTGTACAGTGTAACGGCATATCAGAGGTTAAATTATGTAGGTACGCCCTAAATCTTATTAAAGGCGTAAAACATTCAAACCATCAATAATAATATTATTACACTATTGTTCATCGACCTTTATTTGTTGACGGGGTGGAAAATCCCTTCTAGCTCCTGCTCCTCACTCAGGGGGACTCAGGAGCCAGGAGTATGGGACTAATCCCGCCCACATGCCCACCACTGTAACTCCTGTACACCAGGATCCACAGCAGTGACCCACGAACACACCGAGTTATGACACTCGGGAAGTCCCAGGAAGAAATTAAACTGTCTTGGAACCCGCAACGAAATTAATCAGAAGAAAATTGGAGGAGTTGGAAACACAGTAAATCCACTTCCCTCCTTAGCAAAGCGGGAGACAAAATGAAATAAAAATGGGCATACACCCTTTTAAACAGGGAAGCACCACGGCCACGAAATATTACGGCTCCTACGTGAGCTATATTTGATTTCTATAATATGTATGACAGAATCGCCTAAACGCACGGAAATTCACCCTAGTTGACACAAGATCCCCATAGTATACCGCCCCAGATGTCACCTGCAAGGTATTCAGCATTATATTACGTTCATTATACCAAAGACTACATTCCCAGAGGATATGATGAGCAGACTGTTCATAGTGAGAGTTAGGTGTTGAGCATTGACACAATGGTGACTCGACTAATTTAAATGAATAAAGCTTGCTCTTAAAGTTACCATGACCCGTAAGAAATTGAGCGACACAGTGATCCACCTCAAGCCATGTCCTCGACAACCGTTCGCGAACAGATGGAAAGAATTGGTAAAGATGGCGCCCCTTGGATGATTCATCCCAGCGTTGTTGCCATTCGTCTATGAGGTCATTATAGACATCGGACTGCTGTTGAAGCAATCTTGTAATTTTACCGCGATCCCGCGCGCCCAAAAAATCGCATTCCATGTTTTGTTGTCTTGAATAGTACATGGCTGCACGTCTCTGCACTTCGAGATCGACCGGAAGCACACCCGCCAACACCGGCAAAGCCTCGGTGCTAACCGTCCTATATGCCTTGCACAAGAATATCAGTGCAAGTCGTTGGCCTTGTAACAGTTTGCGACGGACAGCGCCTACGGTCGCCCTATCGGCCCATACAGGTGCACCATAGCACATAGAACCTAAATAAGTAGCTCCGTATATGATCTTTAATGTATTAAATGATAGACCCCATGTCGCAGTTGATATCCTTGTCAATGCACAGAAACTCTTTTTAGACTTTTCATTAACTATTTTAATATGTTCGATAAATGAAAAGTTTCTTTCTAAAACTAATCCTAGGTAACACACTGAGGCCTTATTTTTTACAGTAACATTGTCAAATCTAATGCTTGGCGGTGATTTGAGGTTACCTTTTAAAAGTAGCTGGAAGGTTTTGTTGGGTGCAAAATTTAAGCGATTACGTTCACCCCATTGAGATATCAAGTTCAAACATCTATTGGCTAATCTCTCAAGCCCCGCCCTAGTATCAGATTCCACCAGTAATAAGCCGTCATCAGCATACGCGTTCAGAGTACATCCGGATGGTATTGGTATCGCAAGAAAATCGTCGAAGCCGATATTCCACAAGTATGGACCTAGCACCGATCCCTGAGGACATCCCATTGTAAGCGCCTTCGACACAGAATGATGACCAAGTCTTAGTTTAGTAGTACCTTGTGAAAAGTACGAAGATATAAGGGAATAAATATTTTTAAAGCACCCCCGTGATTTTAATTTCAGCAACAGCATGGGCCACCATGCGTTATCGAAGGCGCCAGATATATCTAAGAAAATAGCCAGCACGTATTGAAATTTTGACTCTGTGACAAACTTTCTAACCGATATAACAGCGTCAGTTGTCGATTTACCCAACGTAAATCCAAATTGTCTATCATGAAATTTGACTCCACCTGGCAGAAGCCGGGGCACTACAAGACGTTCTAAAAGCTTTCCTAACGATGGTAACAATGTGATTGGTCGGTAGGATTTAGGATCATCCGGTGGCTTGTCGCCACTTTTTGGTATTATACGAATATTACCGCACCGCCATATACGAGGAAATATTCCTTCAGCAATGCAACGTTTAAAGACAGTGAAAATCGTGTCACCCGAAAGTTTACAAGCTTCTTTGATCATTTTGTTAGATATTTTATCATCGCCCGAAGCCTTGTTTAGTGGCAAGGATCTAATGATACCGAGAAATTCGTCTGAAGATGGTAAATCAGACATTGGAGACAGTGGTGGTTCGATGGCCCACTGCCTGATCTGTCGGTGATGATCAGTGTCGTTTTCCGGCCGATCGTCAGGTACGAGTGATTCTAAAAGATATTCTGCTGTTTCTTCTACTCCTGTGGTATATCTGTTATTAATTTTGATGTTCTGTATGTATGCAAGGTCGATTGATCTATTTGCCTTAAATTCGTGATACAAAGGTGACCACGGGCCCTCTCTATCGAGTCTATCGACAAGTTTCTGAATTAAGTTTCCCTTCGATTTTTCCACCGCAGCTCTGTAGTGGGACCTGGCAACTCTAAGAGCAATGAGAGCATTATTGTACAAATCTCCTGTTACGTTGTGTTTTTTAAAATTGTTTAATTTTCTACGAGCTTTCCGGTAGCTTCTACGTAGTTCGACTAATCTATCATTCCACCAATCACATCTACGAGTGTTAGTGATAGATCC